CCCAACTTTGTCTTCAAAATAAGGGTGCGTCTTATATTCCGAAAAATACGGTACTGAAAGAAGTTACAGCTTATGAAACTTTCACATTCAGTTATTGAGTTCAATAGTTAAACCTTATCAGTTTACATATTATGATATCGATAAACAATCATTTTAAGATAACGTTAGAACTGACTTGTAAGTTGTAACTTAAGTTATAACTTATACGTTTGTAAATTGTAGGAAAGTAGGTGTAAAAGAAAGAATTATCCAGCAATTTTACTGAATTAATTATAGTACTATGACTAATGATATTAATAGTAGTAGTAGTTGTCCACGTTGTTGACAAACACAGAAACAGTTGGAATTAATGCATTCTATTTGTATGGTGATTTTCTCTATGAATATATATTGTGAGATTGTATGTCATAAATAAAATCATTGTTTTGATAGATAATTAATTAACACTGAAGTATGGCCAAATTCTGAAGTACAAGAAATCAAAATATTGTTATGTACCACTTGAACTTTTTAATTTCTGTATTTTAGTATTAAAGTCAATGGTTTAAAACACTAGGTTATGGAACATAAAATTTTGATGCTTAAAGGTTTGATGTGTATATTTAATCTTTGTTTTCATAATGTGATTTTCTTTTATTATCTGGAGAACTATCAATAAACATTTTGATTACATACTTACAATGTGCAAAAATGAAACACATGTTCACTACACATTATACCTGTAGAGACTACATTAATACTAAACAGTTTAAAGTGTAGTTTACATTTTATTTTAACCTTTGCTTTCAGTCAGAAGCTCTTAGTAACAAGGCGTGGCATGACATGGTAGCTAGGGAGCTCGATTCGCGGTCTGCAAGTTATGGGTTAGAATCCCATCACAGAATCTGCTCGTCCTTTCAGCCATGAGGCATTATAATGTAACAGTCAATCCCACCTTTCATTGGTAAAGAAGTAGCCCAAGAGTTGGCAATGAGAGGTGTTGACTAGTTGCCTTTCTGTGTAATCTATCATTTCTAAATTAGGAAAGGCTAGTAAGTAACTTTGCATGAAATTCAACAAACAAACTTATTAACAATCCGAAGGTTATCACTGGGTGATTAAGTTTAATATCGTGATTAGCTTTAATTTTGGATTTTTTTTAATATATATAGGCAGTTAAAACTGACTTTTAGCTCCTTTGGGCTGAAACTTCCCAGTGTTAATTGTTTAAACAAAATATTTGAACTGTAAAGCTGATAAAGATATTAAATTTAAATATGAGTTTTATTAGTTTTTGTACTAAGTGAGGCTACATAGCTGAGAAGACAAATGGTATTCCCCAAATGTTCCATCTTTAGGTAATACTTAACTAACCTCAAGCTGTGTTCAAAAATGAATTGTTAAAGGTGCCATAAAAAAAGTAAGAAATCTGGAAAATACACAACACACAAAAATAGGTGTTTGGACACTTTTATTGTTATAATCATGGTTTTGGCATAAACTTTTCATCAAGATATAGTACAGACACTTCTGAGAAACAAATTATTGTACATTTGCAGTAAAAAATTAAATTCTTTAGAGTTTAGTTGTGACATTAAACAATAATCTTTCTCTTTCAATATTTAAAATTATTTTGGTATGTATTTTCTTCAACAGCAAGTTCTTTTTATAAAAGTGTTATCAATGATAAAACTTAATTAATACCAAAATTAATTCTAGTAGCACTGTAGGATGAGGCAATTATAATAACATCCCTATCAAGATTACATGTACATGTACAACTTTTTAAGCATACTTACAAACTTGATTTAAAGTTAATTTGTTTACTAACAAATTATTCCTTAATATTTTTATTTGGGAAATTTATTGATAAATGTGTGCCTAATTAAGCTGCAAGAAACTAATATATACAATAATTTAACCTCTTTGCTACCATGTTTATAACAACCCTTTCAGTGCCATGTTTCTTTTCATTACATAATAAAACACAAAAAAGATGCATGTTTTAATAATTCATTACTTGTCTGCAACTTGAAATTGGTAAACTTTAGGAAGTTTGAAAGGAAATACCCTTTCTTAATATCAGTTCATTGTTTTTCAAAATTCCAAACTTGCATGGCATTATTCTAGAGTATGTCCACATGGCAGTGAAAGAATTAATGTATTTAAACATAATAAAAATGTTACATTTATCTTTTATAACCTAATGAGAGAGTAGTTTTTCAGTAAATAAAGACAACCTAAATCTTTCACTTTTGCATAGATTCAACTCATTAAATATGTTGTTTTCTTGAAAACAATCTTCTATTTGATTTCTTTGCAATTATTTACTATGTAAAAACATTTCTTAGTAAACCTTTTTTCAACAGAAAGGTTACTTCATCTTTGTTGTCTAAAGATTAAATACAATTTTACATCATACAGTTAAGCAAATACTTATCTCGCTAATTGCAATTTAATAGCTGTTCCTGCATGTATAAATACTATACCATGAAGTATTGTAATCACTTTTATGTTATTGTGAGAGTGGTTGACATAGACTTGGTACTAATCCACCTAAGATTTTTTTACACATGAAAATAAATATTCATAAATGTAGCCCTTAAAACACAAATTGTAATATGCACAACACTGAAATGTTAAACAATAAGGCAGTAACATATACATATAAAAGATATGTTTTATCTTCATCATTGACTATTTATCCAGTAAATAATAACTTAATAAATTGTGTATACTTTGTATCATGAGTTCTCTAAAAAGTTGTCATACTCTGACACTCTCTTAATAAAAAAAAAAAAAAAGCCTCCACTCACATTAAATGTAATATTTCTGTTATCTGTCATTGACATTCCTCACCCATGTGTGACACTTTTCTGTGAGATAAATATTCCTTATGTAAAAAAAAAATATATAATATATTAGTATATATTATCATAATTTTTGCATCCAGGATAAACATTTAAAGGAATGATACATTTCTGTGTTAAACTGAAAGTTTTTCCATCCCTGATTCTGTTAAGTAGTTATTACATTTAGGTTTACATCCAGATTTAAATAGTAAACAGAAAGTAGATGAGGATTTCCATACCATGCTTTTATTCATTTTACCTACATATAATAATAGAATTCTTGGTTTGCTATGAAGTTGTTTCCAACATTTGTATTGGGATAGAACTCTGTTTTTATTTTCTCTAACAACAATTGAACATGCTGCAGTTAGGTAAGATGTTAATTTTATGCATTTCAAACATTATTTGAGGAATTTTTGGAAATATATTTGAGTAGGCAGATATTAAAAGATGTATGATGCATTTCCATTAAGTTAGGTGTCAGAGAAACAAAAAAAACAACAACATAAAAACACTTCTTAACCTGGAATACAAGTTTAAAACAAAATCTAGGTAGAAATGAATAAAAAACCATATAATCCGAGCTCTTTCAAAAGTGCTCAGGTTATAGGGTTTTTATTCATTTCTATCAAGACGTCTTGAACCTATTTATGTTTGTAACAAAATACATACATATATATATATGGCTGAACTGAAGTTGATGGGATTTATTTATTTGTTTATTTTAAATCAAGAAATGTGTCATTCTATCATTGGTTAATAGAGGAAAACAACTGGCTATCTCACAAATCCTTTCCTTCTTGAGCAGTATCACTCACTTTTAGCATTTTAATTAAGATAGGATTTGGTTTTATCATTCTACAAAGCACATGGGAAGGATGTCCATTTCTTAATAATAAAAACAACATTTGCCAGTTAATCTTTTTGAAGGTTTATTACTCTACCAATGTACTACTAGAGGGAAACTTAGTGAATAATATAAATAATAAAAATTATATAAAGAAAAAAAAACATGTAAAATATACAATTACTTAGGATCGCTAGGACACTAAATAAACGAAA